TCCTCATCACCTTGGCAGCGCCTGACTATTCTATCCATGTACAACACAAACAAAATAGGGGACAGGACGCAGCCTTGGCGGAGACCAGTGAGAACACTGAATGATTTCGACTTAACGCCATTAACTCTGACACAACACCTGCTATCAGAAGGCAGTGATTGGATAACTAGGAATACTTGGCTCCTCGGTTGCACGAGCCCTCATATTTGCTGGCACACCCATGGCTTGTTGCGCAGCATCCCGTAATAGACATTCTTCAGATCCACGAAGCACAAATAAACCGGATGAGCCAAGAATCACCATTTTACAACAGTCTGGCATAAGGGGAAGATCTGTTGGAGGCAACCCGATCTAACTTGCAACTATACCTCATTTCGTATCTCAGAATAATTTATTCCTCGACACATCCTTTCTGACAGCTTCGTGTAGACTTTTACAGGGAGAATCGATAAAGTAATGCCTGGATAACTTAAGCGCTCCCTATGATGTCCCTCCTCGAATTGGAGTATTGCATCTCCTGCTCTGTAGCTCGTTTGTATCTTCCCTAAAGTCCTTGCAGCTTGAGAAAAGCTAGCCAAAACAACAGGGCGGAGTTTCAAGGATTCCGCATCGCAACTTTTCAAGCTCTATACGTCTTCTATGACTCCGTCTACTGAAAAATTGATATACGTTGCCTGTTGCTATTCATGCGGGTCCTCTAAAGTTGCTCAGTGTTGAGGAATTCCTCAAGGTTCTTTCTTCATCGGGAAAATGTATCTTCTTCTTTAGTGAAAAGGCGTCTGAACTTCTCCTTCAGGACTTTCGGACTGGCATTGTTTCCGTCTAAGAGACTGAGCATGGTGCACTAAAATATTTTGTTTACTTTCTCCCAAATTTGGCTCCAGCACTTTACAGGAGAAATCATCATCTTTCGCTCTGGCATTGCTTTCGCTTCTTTGCGTTGGTTTTCTGTTAAAGGGATTTTGGTTCCAAGCGATCTCTTGATTGCAACCTTTCTCTCTATGACAGCCAGTTTACCCCCTGGCCTCCGTCAGGCAGGTCATTTGCTACCGTCGGGCGACAATGAAACCTATTTCAAACCGCAGCATTCGGCGGAACCTCCCTCTCCCCCCCCCGAGTTAGCCGTTGTAACAAGACCTCCGCTCAGTTTTCACATCAATGGCCATTATTGGGATCTGTTCAAAACGCTGTGCGATGTTGTTTGCAAGTTTTACTCTCATAGCCGCCCAAAAAATGAAAATACTTCCTATTTTATTCTCTGGTTGCTTGTGCTGGTAGATTTTCGAATGGTACGCCTGTGATTACAGCGTAAGGTGCAATAACGGGATGATAATTGGTTGACCGCTCTCTTAACACGAACGTCCATTATGGATGGTAGTAGGTCAGACGATACGACCGTCAAATTCATCACAGATTAATACATGCTTGGATGCTCGAAGAAGGTGTTCATAAGAGACAGTCCGTTGTTTGCACAAAACTCTGAAGAGAATGCGGTTGCTGCTGAGGTCAAAATGGTTGTTCTGTCCAATCACACTTTTCCGCTTCTCATTATTTGCTTTGATATGTGCAATGATCGATTCCAGAGTCGACACTTTGCACAGAGCACCTTCTACTTCCTCCAGAAAGAACTGATATTTTCCCTCAAAATTGGGCTATGTACCTTTAATAAGGTCAAAGCTGCAGCGTGTCGTACCCTTAGCCGTATGACCGCCACTATTCCACTGACAGGCTTCGACTGAATGACTCTGTCAGTTTCACGCTGGGTTCTAGCGGAAGTCAACATCGACTTGAGTGAATGTCGTGATGTCGACACTTGAGTAGAATGGCGTCCGCTCTCTGAGGTTCAAAATTCTAGGGTCCTTCAAAATTTTAGCTTTTTCAACGAGAATCCGACTATATCAAGTCGATACCTTTCAATTTCATCAACTAAGTGCTGCTCTTTTCGTCTGGGTGATGAGGTGTTGCAATTTTTGATGGTGAGCACCCGCTGTCGGTATCGTTCTTTCCCCTGGACGTGTTATAATGAATGACACTGCATTGTCTGCCTTCTCCGTTCAGAACGGGTAGTTGCTCCGTTGATAACCACGTTCTTCGTGTTGTACTTGTCGATCTTGGGTAATCGTTGTCATGCTTCTATACCCCCGGCTGTGGGAAAGTGAGTAGGTTCTGATGGCTGACTTTTAGCAGTCCGACTCTGTTTCCTAGCAGCCTGTGCAACCCGTGGTCACCCAGGTGCCGCTGAGCCGGCGT